ATTTTTATGCTAGATAAAATTTTAACTGAAATGTATTGGTGTCGTCAATACCTATCGATTGGTCCAAAAAAAAATTTGCCACGCCCACTCTAACGCCCATAACGCTTAAATCTGTATACCGCCGGTAGGTGGCGCATTTTCATCTCGCTTTGCTACTTGCATATCTCTATTTAGCTGAGTAGCGGGTATCTGATAGTCGACGTACTCGACTATAGCGTTCTTCCTTGTTTATTTTGATATTGCGAACATTTTTATTATATATAAAAAATTCATTTTCTGCTTCGATTCCGGCGATTTGCATAGAAGAAGCAGGCGCAAGTTACCGACGTCATTTCTGGATTACAAAATGTAAAGTTCACCATCATTCGTAGTTTTGAGATCCTGTCCACCTCGATTCATGAACATAGTTTTTGTGTTTACAAAATATTGAAAATGGTGACCAATTATCTGTCCTTTAAATTGTTGAATAAGTTGGTCAATTTCCTCATGAAATTTCATTTTAATAATATTCTTTTCTTGTATGTCTTTACACATCTGCTCTTATCTTTAAAATTATGTATACAAATTATTTTATTGTTTTGGAGCTACTTTTAGAAAATGTCAAAAAATTGTATGCATTGTTAAGAGCACAAGCCTTGAACATCAATCGAAACAGTATCTTTCAACATTTTTCTAATGTTAAACAACTCGTTCTACTCAACTCGTTTAATGGGTTCTATTCAACTTAACGGGCATGTATGACAAAGCTTGGATATTTTCATGACTTGGTGTCTTCACTTTTATTGAAATTCTTAAATCAATTGGACCAGTTTTCACTGATTCGTTTTGATATAAACCATAACATATGATCAACCACAATAATAGGGGCCTGCAATTTAAATTCATTTGGGGTCAAAAATGGTTGTGATTCACGATCTTAGAAACTAAATTGAAATCTTGTATGCATTTCATATAGGTGAGCATACTGATTCTTACTAAAATCAACATTCAGATTATCATATTGATATGACTAAGAATTCAAGTGAACACTCAAGTTTGATAAGTTATTTGTGATAAGTTCTCCATTTATTGTAAATCCAATAATGGCAAATCTTGGTTTTTCGCGGTTAGCCGACAATTTCACATTCCAGCTGTGTTGACTCCCATACCCCAACTGGGGGTTTTCATATGAATACCAACTCCGGAGTGCGATTTGTAGGTTTACACCGCTTTTAATAATATAATAATAATAATTTTTGCAAGGTCGCTCGGAGTTTATGGGAAATTTTCCAGACTACATTCGTCATTTCCAGTTTAAAAGTTTGTTCATTTCTGCTTTGTTTAAACACACCGCCAAGATTCTTAATTAGCACTAACACTAGTTCATGTTTACATATTAACAAAACTTTTTTATAATCCTCAGCAAATCTCAACAACATTTTTAATGGTACAGAAAAGTTGAAGTGCGGTCCCGTAGAAATTTCGTCTCCACTGCTCCATCCAGAATTTAATAGATTTTGACCTTGAAGATTATCCAGAGATATACAATTTTATAGGGTAGTACTAATATTGACATGGACTTGACACGTTGGACACGTTGTATTTAGTTGTTACCTAGCAGTATTTTTATGGTTACTTTCTGTTTAGTCTTGTTTTTGGATGGTTACTTTCTGTATAGTACCTGTAAAGTACTTCCTTTTGAATGATTACTTTGTGTATAGTATCTGAAAGTACTTGGTTTTAGATGGTAACTAACTGTTAAGAAGTGTTGAGTTGTTATAGTCTCTTATTAAGAATTATCAAAGCATACAAACCAACTTGCCGTGAACTATAATTACCTGACCGTCATTAAAGTCACATTACCAAGTCCCAAGGAGCAGGAAGTCTGATAGGATCATACATCTCAAGACCATTGATAAGGGATGAAGTTACGACCGTGCAATAACTCGCAAGTAGCCGACGTACCTCATTGAACAAAACACTTTCTTTACTTACTTACCTACTTTACTTCATTCGTACTAGTAGTTTTAATTACAGTCAGAAACAAATTTTGTACGATCATTTAATATTATTTTATTTATTTTATTATTGTAAACATATTTCATTTAATTCATAATTATATATACATTATATATATATTTAAATAGTTAATTTTTGACTCCTTCCTCTGTAAGAAATATATGGGTTGTTAACCTTTGTTCCAAGCGCATATTTTCGCTTGGTTCCCATAGATAGATGTAAAATAATTCTCACAATTTAATGTTTCTCAGATGTTGGATTATTTTTAAAGCATTCATTTGTTCAGTCAGAAACAAATTTAGTAGGATTATTCAATATTATTTTATTTATTTTATTATTGTAAACATATTTCATTTAATTCATAATTAAATTTATATTATATATATTTTTAAATAATTAATTTTCTGACTCCTCCCTCTGTAAGAAATATATGGGTTAACCTTCCTTTCAAACGCATATTTTCACTTGGTTCCCATAGATAGATGTAAAATAATTCTCGCAGTTTAATGTTTCTCAGATGTTTGATTATTTTAAATCATTCGTTTGTTCTATCCTGACATCAATACCTAACATAGGAGCGTCATTTAATTATTTCTGATTCCAACTTGACTCTGGGGTTATGGCACGGTTAGCAATGGGTGGTTTGCTTAATGGGATTTAAATTATCGGTGACAAATTTATAAGTGAAAGTCACAGACATTTTGTCATTTAGGTGTGGGTTTACACATTTATTATGGAGATAGAAAATGGGATAATTACAGTGTTTTGTTTTTACTGTATTACGCCGGAGCGATTTCAATTACTTTCCCAATTATAGTAAGTTTGAAATCGTTTTTTCACATTCATATATTTTGTTCTTTCCAGACATTTTATTGTAGCTAATAACTGTATTAATGGGGTATAAGGATAGTTATTGCAGTTAAAGATACACTAATTGAACCTAAATAAGATGAAAAAGGGAAAGGTTTTATTTTTACAACATAATAGTTAAAGTGAATGATATTATTATATGTTCATTAACATGAATCGAAATTATTTATCAAAACATGAACAACTAATTTCCTCATTGATTTTACAACCACAGGATACATCTTTCCCCAACATAATCGGACATGTTCCCCTAAGATTTATATATCAATCTTTAGATATTTTGGTAGTGTGATATTTCTAACGTACACAGCAATCACATTGAAAATCATAGTGTAAGTTTTTTCTTCACATCGAAAGTCGTCTAGTGATCAAGAATTTTTGATCATTCTTAACAAAAGACTATAACAGCTCGTAGAAGTTAATAACAACTAGTAACCAGCTACCATCTAGTAAACAACTTGTGTACATTTACTATAAATATAGAAACCAGATACTAAACAGCTAGAAACCAGCTAATAACATCTAGTAAACAACTTAAATATATCTACTAAACATATAGTAACCAGCTAATAACAACAAGTAAGAAACTAGTAGACATATACTTAACAGATAGTTACCATCTAATAATAGCTCATAAGAGTAAACAACAGCTAGTAATCAAAGTCCAAGCAGCTCAATCGCTATCATGAAATACGAAAACCAGATGAGTATTGTCATTAAAGAGTTTATTAAACTTATTCAAAATCTTAGACTATTATGCCTAACTCATACAAATAGTATACAAATAGAATAGAACTCGAAAACTAGAGCTAGAAAAATAGTTGGAAACAAAAAACAGATATTACCAGGTCACAACCCTTCTATCATAAACTTGAATAAGAAATTAAATTAAAAGACGCTCCTATGATAGGTAATGATGCCTTCGACATATGTTATAATGTTAATATGGGATGGAACAAATGAATGGTTTAAAAATAAACCAACTTCTGAGAATCATTAAATTGTGAGAAGTATTTTACATCTATCTATGGGAACCAAGCGAAGGAAGGTTAGCAACCGATATATTTCTTACAGAGGGAGGAGTCAGAAAACTAATTATTTAAAAATATATATAATATATATTTAATTATGAATTAAATGAAATATGTTTACAATAATAACATAAATAAAATAATATTAAATGATCCTACAAAATTTGTTTCTGACTTTTATTAAAACTACAAGTACGTATGAAGGGAAAGTATTTTGTTCAATTATCAATGGTCTTGAGATGTATTATCTTATCAGACGTCCTGCTACTTAGGTCTTGGGCATGTGACTTTAATGACCGTCAGGTAATTATAGTTCACGGCAAGTTGGTTTGTATGCTTTGATAATTCTTAATAAGAGACTATAACAACTCATAACACTTGTTAACAGTTAGTTACCATCTAAAACCAAGTACCTTACAGGTACTATACACAAAGTAACCATCCAAAAATAAGACTAAACAGAAAGTAACCACTAATATACTGCTAGGTAACAACTAAATATAACGTGTCCAACGTGTCAAGTCCATGTCAATATGAGTTATATCTGTTGATAATCTTCAAAGTCAAAATCTATTAAATTCTGGATGGAGCAGTGGAGACGAAATTTCTACGGGACCGCACTTCAACTTTTCTGTGGATTATAAAAAAGTTTTGTTAAAATGTAAACTTGAACTAGTGTTAGTGCTAATTAAGAATCTTGGCGGTGTGTTCGAACAAAGCAGAAATTAACAAAATTTTAAACTGGAAATGACGATTATAGTCTGAAAATTTCTCATGTAACTCCGAGCGATTTTGCATAAATTAAGATGTATGATATTATTAAAAGTGGTGTAAACCTATCAATCGCATTCCGGAGTTGGCATTCATATGTTATCCCCCAATTGGGGTATGAGAGTCAACACAGCTGAAATGTGAAATTGTCGGCTAACCGCGAAAAACCAAGATTTGCCATTATTGGATGTACACTAAATGGAGAAATAACTTATCAAACTTGAATGTTCACTTGAATTCTGAGTCATGTCCATTTGATTTCTCGATTTCTCTTGCGCTTGGCAAGTTGTTCTGCAGTGTTCCAAGTCCGGTGAGTTTGTAGTTGACGCAATCTTCCGACCGCCGAAAACCCAATCACCATGAAGATCTACAAGGATATCATCACCGGCGACGAGATGTTCGCCGACACCTACAAAATGAAGCTAATAGACGACGTGATCTACGAGGTTTACGGCAAGCTCATCACCCGCCAGGGCGATGATATCGTATTGGCCGGGGCCAACGCATCCGCCGAGGAAGCTGACAAGGGCACCGAAATCAACTCGGAGTCGATGTGGTGTTGAACCATCGCCTGGTGGAGAGCTTTGCCTTCGGCGACAAGAATTCCTACCCCCTCTACCTGAAGGACTACATGAAGAAGGTGCTGGCCAAGCTGGAGGAGAAGTCCCCCGACCAGGTCGATGTCTTCAAGACCAACATGAACAAGGTCATGAAGGACGTCCTTGGCCGCTTCAAGGAGCTCCAGTTCTTCACCGGCGAGTCGATGGAATGCGACGGCATGGTGGCCCTGGTGGAATACCGCGAGATCGGTAGCAGGGGCGTTCCCGTGCTCATGTTCTTCAAGCACGGTCTCGAGGAGGAGAAGTGCTAGATGATCCGCCACCGCCGTCGCCACCTTCCCCACGGAACTATATTCATGCATACCTTCTACGCATATTTATCAGATGCTTAGTTACAATTTTGAAAGCCTTAAATTTATGTTAAACCTTGACAAAATGCCTGTCCTCCATCTGTGCGATTTTATTTCTGATTTCTTTTGGCCGGAGCACTCATAAATTCGACTCAATGTATGATTATTGTTTAAAATCACACCGAGCTAAACAACTGAATTGCCCCAACTATTGTATTTAAAATTAAAATAATATTTTTTTTTGATAGAACAAATAATCTGAATGTTGATTTTAGTAAGAATCAGTATGCTCGCCTATATGAAATGCATACAAGATTTCAATTTAGGTTTCTTAATCGTGAATCACAACCATTTTTGACCCTTAATGATTTTAAATTGATGGCCTCTATATTGTGGTCGAATCAGTGAAAACTGGTCCTATTGATATGCGAATTTTAATAGAACTGAAGACACCAAGTCATGAAAATATCCAAGCTTACTGTCTCCTTATACATGACCGTTTAGTTGAATATAACCCATTAAACGGACTAGTACAACGAGTTATTTAACATTAGAAAAATGTTGAAAGACACTGTTTCGATTGATGTTCAAGGTTTCTTTGATAATAATAATAATTTTTTTCTAAAGGAAATTGAAATTGGAATTGGAGAATGGAAAATATTTCCTTGACTGAGATATGTCGGCTACTTGCGAGTTGTTGCGCGGTCGTGATTTCAACCTATTATGGGAATGTATTAGAGCTAGCAGTCAGCCGTGAGGTTGTTGGCGTGAGGCCCATGATCTTGTCAATGAGCGTGCGCCTTTAGGCTTGTGCATGTGTCACTTTTATTGTGGACAGGTAATGGACAGATGCGCATGTTCGGGTAGCTCTTGCTTGAATCCCTTTTATGACATGTTTATGACCCATTTGTGGACAGGAGAGAATCTTAGACAATTTACCAGTTAAACGTTCTTGGGCGGAAACAAAAATGTGTGTTTGAAAATCTTCCACATCTGAGAACCATTAACTTGTGAGATTTATTTTATTGGGGTTCTTTTGATTTCTAAATTATTTTTACAATCATAGAAAACATTATTCCCCAACATGATCGGACATGTTCCTCTAAGATAACCATCTCTGAATACTTTGGGTGTGCGACCTTTCTCACGTGCACAGCAACACCTGTGATAACGAGGCAAAAGAGTACGTGATCACACTTTTCCCCAACATGATCGGATATGTTCCTTTGGATACTATGGGTGTGCTACCTTTCTCACGTGCACCTTTCTCACCTGACTATTAATTGCACATAATGAGGAGAAGGCTACAGGATCAAAATTGTCACATGGGGATGTGGGGGCGATGGGCACAATTAAGTATACTCATTATGGACAAGACCGTGAAATTGTTTGACTTCAAAGCCCATTAAAATCAGTCAATTTACTGGATTATACTAATTGTCCCAGAACCCGCATGTTAAAGAGGGGGAGGGGGAGGTGGCATTAATATTAGCGTTTTCATACTACTGCCAATCGTTACTGCTTTCCACCTCAAAGCACAGTTTTCGCACCGTCTGCTTCAGGAGGTCCTGCGCGGCCCTGCGGTGGTTCACGGTCATCTGGATCAACTGCAATTCGGTCGAGGTCAGAATCTGCTTCCTGCCTGGTTCCTGGTCTCCTTCTTTCCTGCCGCAGAGCAGATGGTCTATCCAAACCGCACATCGCCACGATGAAGGACGACCCCAGGAAGTAAGGCAAACTGATCACTGCTGACTGCGACTCCACGTAGCCTCGGCGCAGACTCCGGACTCTGATGCGCTCCGCATCGATGCCATACTGGCTCGCAATCGCAGCGCAGATTTCCTGCTCCGTCGCGATGGAGTCGATATCTCGTATATCCAATACGAGCAGCTTAGTCTCGCCCGACATGGCTCGCACTGACGCTGCGTCGCACCCTCGCGATGCTCTCCTTCATGGCTTCTGAGCTTTCTGCGGTGGCTTTGGCCACCTCGAGCAGTAGGTGCGGCTTACCATGGATACACAGCTTCCCAGGTCCGACAAATGTTTATCCTCCCTTCGAGTCACCATGGCTAACACCTCGCTGTATGAATTCCCGCTTGCCTGGACAACGACAGCGGTTTGCTGGGCTCACTATCTTACTGGCGCCAGCGTGCGTCGCCTCGCTTTCTTGTGGTCCTTTTGGAAGGTTCATTCGGGTGCTCCTGGGAGCTTTGGCACTTTTATGCTGCATTGGGCGCGTTGATGGTGGGGCCAGTTGCGCTGCAGCATCTTTCCTCCAGACAGGCGTTGTGTGCTGTTCCTTGTCGGCGCTCTGCAAGCTTCGAGAGCATTTCGAGCACACGATTGCAGCATCCTGGCCATTCTCCCTGATGCTGTCATCCTTGCCGCCCTCTCTGTTCGCCTCTAGGATGCTCGTGTGAAGCGCCTTCATGCGCACGAACGTCTCCCTCGTGGCGACAGTTATATGGCGCGCCGTCTTGTCCATCATCTTGGTGGATCTACTGTAGAAACTTCCCCAGCTCCAAGAGATCCTCAAGGCAGGTAGCCTCGTATGAGGCCCTGCTCCTTTTGGCCGGCGTTGTCCTCTGCGAGTTTGCTGGGCTTGCAGGTTCACGCGTCCTCTTAAGTAAAGAAAACGCCTACCTTAACTTCCTCAGTATCTGCGATCAGCTCATTAGCCTAGGTTGACGAAGGTGCCGGCAAGCGAGCGAGCTTGATGCCCCTCCCAAATGCTGCTGCGACTCCATCGGTCCGAGGGAAGAGCTCGGATGGCGTGGTGATCTTACCACCATTGGTCTGCCCACGAAAGGGTCTTCATCCTCCTCCATCTCAGGCTTCCCGATTTGCTCGAGTGAGGGTCCCGCGCTGGCCACTGATTTCCCCTTGGCATATGTTCTGTTAAGCGCGGGGATCCACGCTGTAAAGCTCCTACGCCCCACGTTGTTCAACACTGTAAACAGCTGATTTAGTTTGTAACGAACTGATTTTTGTGGTCTGCTCGCTACGAGATTCGTGCGGCTAGCTCAGTATATTGTGTGTTCGTCCCACCAAATATATATTAACGTGACCGCCCAGCTCAGTGAGAAAGCACAGAATTCACGGGTTCGTATTGGGTTTATTGCGGGTATATTATTACAAGTGTCTTAGTCGCTTGGTTGGCCTTGACTCGTTGCTTGTGTCCCTCGGTGCTTCCGACGGCCCTGATTGACTCGACGACCTCTCGCCTTGACGACTCGGTGCTCCAGTCCTGTAGCTCCCTGAAGATACTCGCAGCTCCCTGAAGATCTTCGCCGCTCCCTAAAGATCCTCGCAGCTCCCTGAAGACGCTCGCTCGCTGCTCACTTGTCACGCGTGACTTGGTGACTGCTGGTAACGACTCGGAATCGCGAGGGGTATCGGCCGTACGGGCTTAGGGAAGCGTCACCGTTCTCAGACTAGGGTGAACAGAAGATGCGCTCTCCAGGATCGCTCCTTTCGACACACCGCCGCCTGTCCCTTGATCTGTCCCGGATGGTCCCACTGGGTTTCTGCTCAGCCCGCGCGGACAGTCAAGGCGGAACGCCAGGAAGCTGCCTCGCGCCTTTCTTCGCTTCCACGCCTAGTGTAAACGAACGTTCCACCCTAGCCTCACCCTTTTGCTTCTGGTCCGGGACGTTTCCGTGTGGCTTTTGGTACTCGGGGTTCGGGCACGCCGCTCCGGGACCTCGCAAGTCGAATCCGTAGGGCTCTCCTGGATAATTCCACTCGAGACCGTACCGATCGACCGCTCTCCCTTCTGGCTTGTTATACTCGTGGCTCGGGCACGCCGCTCCGGGACCTCGCAAGTCGAATCCGTAGGGCTCTCCTGGAAAATTCCACTCGAGACCGTACCGATCGACCGCTCTCCCTTCTGGCTTTTTATAATCTCTCCAGGCGTAACGCCAGGACTTTGTGGATAAGGTTAATCGACCGCCTTGACCTCTCAATTCGGAGATTCCTGGTATCCCAATCCCGAACGTCTCGACGTAGCAATCTTGCTCATTGTAGGCTCCCACGGCGCAGTTTCTCTGGCGACTCGATTTGTTGTTGCTCCCTTGTAGATTATCTGGTCGTTTGATTGTTTACTTTGGTATCTAAGTGATCTTGACGGTTTGACTCCTTGTGATCGACTGATCCAGCTGCCAGCGCTCTGCGACCTTATATAGAGCCTCCGGGAACCGTTATTTCCCTATTGCGCATGGCCCGCTGAATCTCTCCACTCCGGGTCCAAAGTCCGTGGCTCCTAGTTGACCCACTTGTCCTTCACGTACCGCATCCAATCGATGCTCCGTCCACTGCTACCGTCCCGCTGATTCCCGTGATGCTTGTGGCACGCCAGTGTGCCGCTCCACTGCCGAGATGTGGCACTTCTTCTCCCGGTCCAAAGTTCACGGGAGAGTCCAAAGTCCGGTGGAGTTCCGTTATCCGCTTTTGCACACGGCGCTCTTGCCTTGCCCGCGAAGTCTCCATTCTCTCTCGATCTCCATCCTTGGTCTCCAAACACTCTCGTTCTCTATCCCTGGTCTCCAAACTCTCTCGCTCTCCTTCCTTGGTCTCCAAACTCTCTCGTTCTCCATCCTTGGTCTCCAAACTCTCTCGCTCTCCATTCTTGGTCTCAAAAGTCTCTCGTTCTCCATCCAAGTCTCCAAACTCTCCTAGCCGCGCCGTTACTACGCGAATTCGCCGCGTATCTGGTAAGCGGCCGGCCATCCGGAGGTATCCTTGTACTTTTAATGTTGTTTTTCGTCTGTTGTGTCTGCTTGCTCTAGCCGCTCGCTTGTGTTTTCCGTTAGTTGCTGTTTCAGCTCGCTTACGTGGATGGTCCGCTCTTTCTTTGTGTTTGTGTGTCGTATTCTGCAGATTGGTGAAAAACCCATGACTTGGTAAGGTCCGTCGTATCTTGGTGCTAATCTTGCTGCGAACCCCTCGGCCGCTTTTGATAAGTGGTGTTCC